TGAGCTCTGTCATTTCAAAGCCATTGTTTCTAATTTTAGGAACTCTTTAGTGACTGGCATAGTACCACTGGATTGGCATAAGGCCAATGTGGTGCCAATATTTAAAAAGGGGTCAAAACCTTTACCAAGTAATTATAGACCTGTTAGTTTAACTTCTATAAGTGGGAAGATACCAGAGAGTTTAATAAAAGACCACATAGATGAGTTCTTGTGAAAAATAATATTTTAAGCAACAGACAGCATGGATTCATGACAAATTTGGATTTCTTTTTATGAGGAGGTGAGCAAAACCTTGGACAGAGGGGTGGCAGTGGACGTGGTATACTTGGATTTTGCAAAAGTGTTTGCCACAGTTCCCCACACACGGCTAATGTGTAAGGTAAAGTCTACAGGTTTGGAAAAATCCATATGTAAATGGATAGAAAAACTGGCTAAAAGATCGTATACAAAGTAGTGGTTAATGATTCGTACTCTGCATGGTCTAGGGTTGTCAGCGGTGTACCCCAAGGTTCAGTATTGGGACCCTTACTTTTTAATACATTTATAAATGATATAGGGTCCGGGATTAAAAATACCATTTCAGTCTTTGCAGATAACACCAAGCTGTGCAGTGGAATAACGGCCTTACAGGATGTCTTCAACTTACAAGCCGACCTCAATGCACTGTATAATTGGGCAACTATGTGGTAAATGAGGTTTAATGTTGATAAATGTAAGGTTATGCACTTGGGGGCTAAGAATATGCATGCATCATACATACTAGAGGGGGTACAACTGGGGGAATCAATGGTGGAGAAGATCTGGAAGTTCTGGTAGATTACAAGCTTAATAATGGCATGCAATGCCAAGCTGTGGTATCTAAAGCGAGTAAACTCCTTTCTTGTATTAAAAGAGGTATATGTGCCGATCGCTGCATCAGACCCCAGCCCTTCTCACCAAACTCATGACCGAAGGACTAGCCAATCTAAAACCGCGCTGTCATGTGCGTAACAATGCCACGCCCAGTTGCACCCTGCACAAAGATTTTCCAGCTAATGGACCACAATCGATGTACCAGCAGCCTGGGAGCGATTGATATGGGTAAGGTTAATTACGCAATTAACCCTTCACACTGCCACCACCTCCTTTTTGTACAGAGAAAGAGGAAACTTGGCAATATTAGCAATACACTATGATGTTTGAATAATCATTTGTATACACAATGTCACCGCAGACAAATGTATGCAGATGTTTAAAACACACAGTAGCGTTCTTCAGAGACAGGAATTCTTAGTTTGCATTAAAGAGCTTTAGAAACAGTTCAATACTTTTCAGATAATAGGATTTATTACTAAAAAGGTCAAAAGGGTGCAATAAAAATATTTACAGAAAAAGATGTAGCCAATATACTGTATATATAAATATACAGAGAACAATATCACAGCAAAGAGATAACAGAAGTTTAGAGGGTTAAAGTACTTGCCGTCAGCCTTGGGTTAAGCAGATCAGGTTTCAGAGCCAAAAGGGTCTTATCCTCCCTCCTAGATTGTAAGCTCGAAAGAGTAGGGCCCTCTTACCCCTTGTGTCCTGTTTGATGTTACTGTACTGTTTCATGTATTGTCCCCCCCTCTATTGTACAGCACTGAGCAAACCCTTTGGCGCTATATAAACTCAATAAATAAATAATCTCCCAAAGTTAGTTCCAATGTTAAAAAGGGAGAAACTTCAACTCTCTTTAACTCAGCTCAGCTTAGCTTTTTCTAGGAGCTCCACAGGGTGTCTCTCTGAAACAGAGAACCAATCCCCTCACTTAGGGAGGGAGTTGTAGGTGGAGACCTCAGGCTATGACCAAAACCTGCACAAAGTATATTATGGTTCATAACTTACCCTTGATACATATAACATCCTAGCCATGAGTAGATTAATACGCAGAATCTTTGGCTGAACGGTTAGATATGAAATATGAAATACCCACTTGAATGGTTAAGGAGATGTAATTTTCTGCTCTCCTGTATATGCCAGCTAGGGGATGTAATATACCAGGAGACTTGTCTTAAATTGAGCCATCCGAATATGGGCTCCATGTTTATGTAATTATGTCCTATTTGAAGATATAAACTTATATGAAAAAGTGAGTTTTTAAATGTAAGTCTATTTTTACGACTCCCTGGAATGCCTTTGAGCTCAGTGAGGGCTCAGTTTATGGCTTTATGAGCCCTTCTCTAGCAAGAGTCTGGCAGATATCAGGGCACCTAGCTAGTGAGGTTTATAGCCATGATGCCCTCCCAATGAGTTTGTGGCCTGTGATCTCTGCAAACACACACCGACCACATTCCTGAGGGAGGGGGGAAATTGGAGGAGGGAGACTGATTTGGGAGAGAGAGATACAAAAATGGAGGGGATTGGAGCAAAATGGATGACCACGTCCATCTCTGTGTGCATGATTGCAACAGTATAGACTCCAGAGAAAGAGATATCATATTACCCCTGTACAAATCATTAGTAAGACCTCATCTGGAATATGCAGTTCAGGTTTGGGCACCAATTCACAAAAAGAACATTGGGGAACTGGAGAAAGTACAGAGAAGGGCAACCAAACTGATAAGAGACATGGAGGACCTCAGCTATGAGGAAAGATTAGAGTAGTATATCTGTCAAAGGAGGAGGAGCAAAAACTCCCCAACTTAAATACAAGCACAATAAGAAAGTATATGCCTTTGCATGAGAAAAGCCCAGAGGAACAAACCCCAGAGAGTCACGGTGAAGCAAATTGCATCGGAGATCAAACAAGATTGTCTTTTGAGGGATTGGACAGGAATCAGTTGAAAGAATTTTCAAAGTTGGAGAGAAAAAGGGGGAAAAGGAATATGGAGGAGCAAGAAGTAAGGCCACAAATGCCCACAAAATTTGGAATGGTAGTAATGTTTCTTAAATTAGAGAACTCCATAAAAAGTCAAATGGCGGTATTACACCGTGAAATGGCACATATCCTGTCACGAGTGAAAGAAACAGAAGGGAAATTGGAGAAACAAGCCCAAGTAATCAACAAATTATAAGTGCAAATGGCAGAAAGGAGAAGAGAACAGAGAATGCTAATATACTGTATTAACTAGAAGATCAGAAGATAGAAGGAATAACCTAAGGATCAGAGGCTTACCAGAAGTGTCTCAGATAGAACATCTAAAGGACACTATGAGAAGATTGTTCAACCCAAATTAGGGAGAGGAGAGACAGAACAACTGAAAATAGAGTGCACAGGATAAGGAGATCCCAAAGCATTACATCAGATACCCCTAGGGATGTGATAGTACGGTTTCATTTTTATGACGATAACAAATTCATATGGAAGAAGTTATGTGGGATATCAGATATAAAATATGGAGAAACAAAGTTGCAAATTTTTGCAGATATAACACAGGGGACCATTGGTATATCAGATGAGGAACAAAAATGTTCATTATATTTGCAGATTCCCTGCTTGCCTGATCAGGTGGAAGGATGGGAAATCGGCAAGACTGAGATTCCCAGAAGATTTAATAGACGTTTGTGAAAAACTAGAATTACAGACTCTGGATATTGCAGGGGGGTCTGAAGGGGGGAAAGAGATCGTAAGGTTAGAAGGTGAGAAATGGCAACAAGTTTCTAGAAAGAGATAGATGGATTGGGGGGGCGGTGGGTTTTGGAAGAGAGGGGAGATGGGGGGTGGTAGATTGGTAGATCCAGGTGCTGTGTCTCCGATCCCCTCGCCTCCCCCTTTTTGTTTCCTCTCTTCTCTATCGGGCCCTACCGCCCACCCTGCAAAACTCATAGGATAAGGGTTTCCTCCCTCAAGGACAGGTTAAATGGGGCTTTTAGAAATAGGAGAAAGTGTTTGCCAGACAGGTAGATGGCTGAGATAAAAGAAGAATAGGTAGGTGAATAAAGTATTGTGATGAAGATAGAGTGCCATGGCAAGTAGTAGTGAGGTCAAACACGTGGCTGAATTTCAGACCCAATTATGAGAGATTGGGGCCTGAATGGGCATGCATGTTCAGAGCCATACCCAGAAGAAAGAATCAACTGTGACAGTAGATCACAATTGATCCAAGGGCCAAAAATAGGCCATGAAGGTTCTCAAGAGGGGGTTGTGGGTCAGAAGGGGGGGGGGGTGTGGGGAGGGGGAGGTCTTCCTGCTCTGGATTGTGCTTAACTGTACCCCAGTAAAGAGAATATAGAGGAGAATAGACAAAATGAGAGGAATGAATACGGTTAACTTTATGACATGCAATGTAAAAAAATTGAACACTCCAACAAAAAGGCATAAGGTACTAAGAGAGTTAAGCATCCAAGAGAAGAGACTATACCTTCTTCTCTGAGGCGCATAGGACGTATTCACGATTGGATTACATATTGATTGAACATAGACTCTTGGAGTCTCTAGTGAAAATCAATATAGAAGTATTATCTATATCAGACCATGCCCCTGTCACAATGAGACTACGATTCGGAAGGCAAGAGAACAAAATTAATATGTGGCAATTAAATGAGAAGATTTTACAAGACTCGGAAATGGAAACAAGAGTGAAACAGGAAATTTAACAATATTTTAAGTTTAACAAACCTGCGGAGGTTACAATCGCCACAGTATAGGAAGCACACAAGACCTATATTAGGGGTATACTGATTGAAATAGGGGCAGAGAAAAAGAACGGGGTAAAAAAATTAGATCATTAATGGAAGAACTATTTCAGTTGGAACAATTACTTAAAAAGAAAATAGACACAAAAATACAGCAGGAGACAATATTAAAAAGAGAAGAATTAAAGGATCTAATGGAACAAGAAACAAGGACGTTTTTCAGTAAGGTTTCGAAGGAAAGATATCAGGTGGGGAATAAACCTGGGAAATATTTATCGTATTTTTCACTCCATAAGATGCACTTTTTTCCCCAAAAAAGGGAGGAAAATGTCAGTGCATCTTATGGAGTGAATATGGAGCGGCCGGTCCGGTATTTCCACCTCCGCTGTGTCAGAATACTGGGCCGGCCACTCAGTTCTGCAGCAGGCCCTTACCTGTTCCTCGGTCCACCGCTGCACAGTCTTCCCCCGCCGGCTTCTTTAGCATGACAGGTCCCAGAAGACGCCGGACCAATCACAAAGCGCAGCGCTTCTCGCGCATGCGCACTGGGCACCCAGCTGTCAGCCGGGTGCCCACACTAAAGGGAGGACAACTCCGTGGAAGGTCAGCAGTGTCTGGTCATCTCCTGTACTGTCCGCAGTCTCTGGTCATCTCTTGTACTGTCCGCAGTCTCTGGTCATCTCTTGTACTGTCCGCAGTCTTTGGTCATCTCCTGTACTATGTCCGCAGTCTCTGGTCATCCCCTGTACTGTCCGCAGTCTCTGGTCATCTCCTGTACTGTGTCCGCAGTCTCTGGTCATCTCCTGTACTGTGTCCGCATTTGTTCATAGTTTACGGTAATTAGGAAACAGGAGGTATGGGGAATGATAAGCAAAAATGGTGTTTTGTGTTTTATGATGTTTGATGCAATATGGATTGTTGTATTATAAAGCTAATAAAGATATAATAATAATAGTAAAAAATGTTTTAAAAAAAAGACCAATTGCCTAGGTTTACTTCCACATGGCTTTGCTGGTCTCATTTCAAAACAACTGAGCAATACAAGAGATATCTACCATAAATTATGAGTCCCCAGTTTCTAACTTACTTTGTAGGGCATTAAGCATAGTAATGCTCTCATATTATCAGGTACTGACTTACCTTGGGTCGAAACTTCAACTTTCTGAAGATGCTGGTAGTTCCCTAGATTCACTTGTACAATATATGCCAGGGTTCACGGTGGTCTGAGCATTGACATTTTAATGGTCCTTGTACACTATGCTTTGGCTTTGTTTTAGGTCTACTGTAAGACCAACTATTGTATTCTCAATTTACATGCTATATTAGCGCATATAACCTGTTTGTGAAATGTTTTCAATTTTCTTTGTCCATTCTTGAAGGACAATCTATTCTATATCTCTTTTGTAACTAGCTACAAACATTCAAATAAACAGTTTATAGAAAAAAAATACTACATGCCTGATTGTTATTATGAATAACAGATAGTATTACTTTCTGATCCACTAAACTGGAACAAGTATGCAAATCAGGAAACTCATAGAAATGTTGAAATGAATTCAAGCAAGGCTGCCAGTGTGACAGCCAGGCAAAAAATTATTTTCAGAAAAAGTAGACAGCTATTACAGTCTCCATGTTTCTCTAATGGCAGGATTACTTTAAGAATGATCAAATATTATATTTTTATCAGTTCATCCAAAAAGTAAATTTTTCAGTTACATGTAGGGTTTCATGGAAAATTCTTATATCTTTTAGAGATTCCAGCAGTGAAATCTCCAGCCATAACCGCTAGCTTTGTTCTGGCCCACCCTGAAGGTTTAGTTTTTCTACCTACATTGAAGGTGTTCCCTCCACTTTTGTTGCATTCTCCATAATATAAAGTAACCAAAGGTCTTAAGTGAGAGTGGGACTCTGCAGTCATGGATGTAACAAGTGTACAAACCTGGGAAATCCAGCACCTCATCACTACAGACACAGTATAGGAATACAAGATATTGATCTTAGATGGAAGGATGCATAATAGAAAATTTAGAAGCAATCAAAAATAAACTATTCACTAGTATGGGAGTTATTCATATGGCAAATAAAACTGAAGAATCATTTTTACTCATGTCAAATCTAAGCATATTTGCTGATTATTTATTAGGCATGTTTTAAAAGAGAAGTATGGACATTTTTGTTTTTCTCCAATTCTTACCTAGGTGGATGCAACATTGGTCTGACACTGCATATGTCCCCCGCTGGCTCTAAGTGTGAGAACTCAGTGAGAACTCAGCTTATCATTGAGTTCTCACAGCCACTGTAAGCAGAGAGTGGTAACTGTTAGTACCGGGATCCTCAACCCAGTGGACACAGCGGTCGTGCAGGGATGTTGGGGGGGGGGGGTACTCTGCGGGCCCCTGAACCTGAACAGGCAAAATGATGTATATGTACGTGATTATGCCTGTAGGTGCCTGTACTCCGGCTAGACAGCAAAAAGTTAACTGAATGCTGCCAATAGGTTTAACCAAAACAAAGATAATGTTTGTTTGTTTGTTTGTTGGTTTGTTTTTTTGTAATTATGTTTGTTTGTTGTGCTCATTTCTCAAATGTATTCCACATCAATTTCCATAATAATCCACAACCAGCACAGTGGCTAAATGGTTAGCACTTCCGCTTGGCAGTACTAGGGTCGTTGGTTCGAATCCAGCCACGGCACATTCTGCCTGGAGTTTGCATGTTCTCCCTTTGCCTGCGTGGGTTTCCTCCAGGTACTCTGGTTTCCTCCCACACTCCAAAGACATGCTGGTAGGTGAATTGGATCCTGTCTAAATTGTCCCTAGTATGTGTATGTATGAATGTAAGCTAGGGACCTTAGATTGTACACCCCTTGAGGGTTAGGGACTGATGTGAATGTACAATATATATGTAAAGCGCTGTGTAAATTGACGATGCTATATAAGTACCTGAAATAAATAAAATAAATAACCACAATGTTATTCAATAGTATGAGTTGTGTGTGTCTAAGATTAATTGTACCACAAGTTCTGACTACAACTGAATGAAAGAATTGAAAGTATTGCAATACCACATCAGGCAGGTCAAACAGCAAAGATCACCTGTCAGAAAGACTCCAACTTCCAGTATGGCTCTAGTCTAGTTTGGGTACATGCCCTCATTCCAGCTCCTGACCCTGCACATAGGGACACTGCTGGATGTACATAAATGCACTTGTGCGAGAACATTTTCCTGAGTACTTCACAACATGTTCATGCATACACACACCTGGTGTTGTGGTCAATCGGCCTATTTCAGGCACAGTCTCCGTCTCACCAAAGTCTAAAGCTGAGACATCTTTAGCTTTTCTTGTGAACCTTACCCAACCTTCTTGCTGTTTCTTCATGACCAACTTGGCCTGCTGTTCATAACTTAGTGGACAGATCACCTGTTGACTATTCAACTTGGCTTTCTGCTTGTTGATTATAAAACTCTGGCCTTTTTCCAGCTTTGTCTGTCGGACAACTGTGTCCCTTACTACCTGGGAATTCCTAATGACTTTAGTGTGTTCCTAACCCTCCACCTGTCTTCTGCCTGGTACTGCTGCTGTCTACCTGTTAATGCCCTTTGTCTGTTTCTGACCCTTTTATGTCACTGCTACCAAGAACACTTGGACTGGAGGTGCAACAGAAGTCACCCACAGTTCTCCATCAGGTATGTAACAGGTAAATACAGTATATAACATTATGAAACTGCTGAGGAGGGATAAATGTGCTGAAATTTCACTTTTCAGAGTTTATAAAATATATCCTTAGACTTTAAAAAGCATATATCTGTGTTTGGACATTTGCTACATAAAATACAGTGCTCAAAGCCAAAACACATCCATAGCCCTACATTTATCACTGGGAGGAACAAGAAACAGATATGCATCCTAGGGACTTTAACACATCACTAGCAGGAAAGCAGATATCAGTATGTATTGCGCTGAAGAAATGGAAATTCACAGCCTCTTGTCCCCCCCACCACCACCACCAAAACTGCTGGAAGGTAAATACCTTGCTAGTATCCCATAAAAATCAAATTATCACATTGTTTAAAGGGAAACCTAATCCCCTGTATTTGTAGTTGCTCACAATTTACTGATCTGCAATGATTCCACTTTATGATTCATTGCATTGTTTGCCCACGCCTCAGTGCCTTTGTTTACAAATCACCTGTTGGTGTTTCTCAGTGGAGCTGGCAGATATGCATCCCAGGGAGCCATATACAACAAACAATACAATAGGTGAAGATAGTATATATCATTTCATTCTGTTGGGATTGATAGATGGAAAGTTGCAGCAAGTGTGTTTTCCTCAGTCTAGGCTTTCATGGCCAAATTAATCAAGGTGTCACTTTTCACAGCTACCTGGTTGTATCTCTGTTCACATCAGCCCTTGGTCCTATGTTAAGTACAATATACAAGACCATTAACTCAAGGACTTCATTTTATTAGCAAGGAACATATATGGAACAATCCCATTTTAAAGGTTTTATGTGTTTGTGTGTGTGTGTATATATATATATATATATATATATATATATATATATATATACAGTGGGGCAAAAAAGTATTTAGTCAGCCACCAATTGTGCAAGTATCCCACTTAAAAAGATGAGAGAGGCCTGTAATTGGCATCATAGGTAGACCTCAACTATGAGAGACAAAATGAGAAAACAAATCCAGACAATCACATTGGCTGATTTGGAAAGAATTTATTTGCAAATTATGGTGGAAAATAAGTATTTGGTCACCTACAAACAAGCAAGATTTCTGGCTCTCACAGACCTGTACCTTCTTCTTTAAGAGGCTCCTCTGTCCTGCACTCATTACCTGTATCAATGGCACCTGTTTGAACTTGTTATCAGCATAAAAGACACCTGTCCACAACCTCAAACAGTCACACTCCAAACTCCACTATGGTGAAGACCAAAGAGCTGTTGAAGGACACCAGAAACAAAATTGTAGACCCGCACCAGGCTGGGAAGACTGAATCTGCAATAGGCAAGCAGCTTGGTGTGAACAAATCAACTGTGGGAGCAATAATTAGAAAATGGAAGACATACAAGACCACTGATAATCTCCCTCGATCTGGGGCTCCACGCAAGATCTCACCCCGTGGGGTCAAAAATGATCACAAGAACGGTGAGCAAAAATCCCAGGACCACACGGGGGGGACCTAGTGAATGACCTGCAGAGATCTGGGACCAACGTAACAAAGGCAACCATCAGTAACACACTATGCCGCCAGGACTCAGATCCTGCAGTGCCAGACGTGTCCCCCTGCTTAAGCCAGTACATGTCCGGGCCCGTCTGAAGTTTGCTAGAGAGCATTTGGATGATCCAGAAGAGGATTGGGAGAATGTCATATGGTCAGATGAAACCAAAATAGAACTGTTTGCTAGAAACACAACTCGTCGTGTTTGGAGGAGAGAGAATGCTGAGTTGCATCCAAAGAACACCATACCTACTGTGAAGCATGGGGGTGGCAACATCATGCTTTGGGGCTGTTTCTCCACAAAGGGACCAGGGCGACTGATCCATGTACAGGACAGAATGAATGGGGCCATGTATCGTGAGATTTTAAGTGCAAACCTCCTTCCATCAGCAAGGGCATTGAAGATGAAACGTGGCTGGGTCTTCCAACATGACAATGATCCCAAACATACCACCTGGGCAACGAAGGAGTGGCTTCGTAAGAAGCATTTCAAGGTCCTGGAGCGGCCTAGCCAGTCTACAGATCTCAACCCCATAGAAAACCTTTGGAGGGAGTTGAAAATCTGTGTTGCCCAGCGACAGCCCCAAAACATCACTGCTCTAGAGGAGATCTGCATGGAGGAATGGGCCAACATACCGGCAACAGTGTGTGCCAACCTTGTGAA